TGGAGAGAAGGAGGAGCCGAGTCAGAATGCACCTGAGAGAGCTGAGTGGAAGTCAACTCACATGAAGGTATATATTTGGCTCCTGAGCTCACAGACTTCGGGTATTGCGTCCACAGTGGATGGCATAGCGAAGGTACATGATGTCTGGGAAAAGCTGAGGAGGACCTACGATGGTGCTGGGAACAACCTGCGGGTGTACCAGATCAAGAGGGAGATCTCGGCTTTGGTACAGGGGGAGAAGACTGTGCAGGAGTATGCTATAGAACTGGATCGCTTATGGCTGGATCAGGGCCACTTTAGGGTCCGACGACGATGCTGCACTGATCCTATATGTTCTGAGATTGAGATGGAGGATAGGGTTATGGTGTTCCTTTAGGGTCTGGCCCCGATGTTTGAGCAGAGGGTTGCTATGCTACTGGCTCAGACGAGGATTCCCTCACTTGAGGAAGTGGTCTCAGCCATGATACAGGAGGAGAGCCGGATTAGGCTCCAGGCGGGGGCAGCTGGACTCCCAGGGGTGAAGTCAGCACTTGCAGTCTCCAACTCAGGTACCACAGGGTACAGGAGCGAGACCCGACAGTGCTACAACTGTGGTGAGGTAGGTCACCTGAAGCAAGCTTGCCCTAAGCTACCAAAGGAGCGAGATACAGGTGGAAGGGGGCATGCAGGGGGTCGTGGTCGAGGCAGAGGTGGTAGGAGAGGTGGAAGAGGAGGCTACCAAGCACATCTGACGGTAGCAGATGGAGAGAGTGAGGAGACTGTGGTCTTTACCGAAGAGGATCATGAGTTTTTGGAGGCATTGAAGAGGAAGCAGAAAGCAGCAGGTGAGGGGAAGAGTGGGGTAGATGATGCATCCACCTCGTCTTCATCCAGGGGTAACCTTGCTTCCTTTGCTCACTCAGCTACAGGTACTTGTGATACACTTGCTCTTGCCTCTATATCCACCACTAGATCACCAGATTGGATAGCATCTCGTCATGTGACTAATGCTGCTAGGGAGTTTTCTTCCTATACTCACCTAGCAGTACCAGAGAGCATTCAGACAGCTGATGGTACGGCCCAGCCCGTGGTTGGTAAGGGCACAGTGCAATGTACCAACACTTTGACTTTGTCTAATGTCTTGCATGCTCCTTCTTTTCCTGTAAATCTCTTATCCATAAGTGACATTATATCACAACTAAAATGTGTCGTTTTGTTTGATATTCCTAAGGTGATCTTCCAAGAGAAGGGGACAGGCAGGTAACTTGGGACTGGCACATGGCATAGTGGTTTGTGGTACCTAGATAGAGAGGGTATGGATTTGGCTCTCTCATCTATTGTGGAGGGAGCTGGAGGAGCTGGGAGGAGTGTGGAGGACTTGTTGCTGCTCCATCATAGGCGCTTGGGTCATCCTTCTTTTCCGGTCTTGAGTAGGTTGTATCCGTCTTTGTTTGAAAAGGCTAATAAGGAAAAACTCGTGTGTGATGCGTGTGAGTTGGGAAAGCACACTAGGAGCTCTTATGTTAATTCTGGTAGTAGGAGTTCTAGTGTTTTTGATTTGATTCACTCTGATGTATGGGGGCCTTGTCCCACAACTGCTGTGAATGGATTTAGATATTTTGCCTCTTTTATTGATTGTTTTTCTCGTGTGACGTGGCTTTATTTGATGAAAAACAAAAGTGATGTGTTTGCTTGCTTCAAGGACTTCCATAAAGGAGTTCAGACTCAATATGGTGCAGTTGTGAAAGTATTAAGGTCTGATAATGGGACAGAATACACCAACAGGATGTTTGGGGAGTACTTGTCATCTCAGGGGATACATCATCAAACCACATGTACATACACACCAGAGCAGAATGGGGTAGCAGAAAGAAAGAACAGACATCTCCTTGAGGTGACTCGGAGTATGATGATTTCGATGAAAGTCCCAAAGTACTTGTGGGGGCAAGCAGTTCTGACAGCCGCCTATTTGATCAACCGGATGCCATCACGGGTGTTAGACTGGAAGTCTCCGATTGAGATGTTGAAAGGTAAGAATGGAGATATTCTTCCTCTCAAAAACTTTGGGTGTGTGTGCTTCGTGCAGGACAACAGACCAAATGTGGGAAAACTAGATCCGAGGGCTGTGAAGTGTATCTTTGTGGGGTACTCAGCTACTAAAAAGGGGTATGTGTGCTGGAGTCCTGTGGAGAGGAGACTGTTTGTGAGTATGGATGTTACATTTCGCGAGTTCGAACCATACTACTCAGAGGCTACATCACCCTTTGGAGACTTTCCCGATACAGAAGGTATGAGGCGAGAGGGGGAGAGTAGGAGGATGGTGAGTGTGGGTGGTATTTCTTGCCCATTTGAGATTTCGGCTGTGGTTGAGCCAGAAAAGGAGGAATCAGCTAGGGTTGAGCCGGAAGCGGAGAGGAATGAGCTCGAAGGTGGTAGAACTCTGACTCAGGGGGAGTCGAGATACCGTGAGGTGTATGTGAGGAGAAATAAGCAGATTGAGGGAGCCATGCCCACAGTGCCACCAGTGCCAAGTCCCTTGTCTCTGCCTTCTCCGACTCTTGAGACACCTACACCATCCACTTCAGACTCAGAATACACAGGTGATATGATTCCTCCCTCTACTCCTTCCACCCCCCTATTGGTAAGGCGGACTACTCGCGGGAATGCGGGTATTCCTCCTGACCGATATGGTTTCTCTCCTGACCGATATGGTTTCTCACATGATATTGCTCAGTTTGTCTCTTACTCACACATATCACATGTACATGGAGCATTCATTGCATCATTAGACACTGTCTCTATCCCTAAGTGTTGGCAGGTTGCTAAGGGAGATCCGAAGTGGAAGGCAGCCATGCTAGAAGAGCTCGGTGCCCTCGACAAAAACAACACTTGGGAGCTTGTGTTACTACCACCAGGCAAGAAGGCTGTCGGATGCAAGTGGGTCTTCACAGTGAAACAGAATCCAGAGGGTCTGATTGAGCGCTACAAGGCTCGGTTGGTGGCAAAGGGGTACAGGCAGACCTATGGTATTGATTATGATGAGACTTTTGCACCCGTGACAAAGATGAGCACAGTAAGGACACTGATTTCCCTAGCAGCGAATGGTGGGTGGAAGTTACACCAACTTGATGTGAAGAACGCTTTCCTTCATGGTGATTTGTTGGAGGAGGTGTATATGGAGGTCCCACCGGGTTTTGGCACAAACCAGACGGTTGGTAAGGTGTGCAGGCTCAAGAAGTCGCTGTATGGGCTGAAACAGTCTCCTCGTGCATGGTTTGATAGATTCAGAAAGGCCATGGTGTGCCTAGGCTACAAGCAGATCAATGCCGACCACACGGTGTTTTATCGGCAACAAGGTGACCACATTACCATGCTTGCTGTGTACGTAGATGACATGATCATTACTGGAGATGATGAAGGGGAAATTGCACAGCTGAAGGCAAAGTTGGGGAAGGAGTTCGAGATAAAGGATCTGGGACAGCTTAGATATTTCTTTGGGATTGAGGTGGCTTGTGGAGCAGAGGGGATTGTCCTATCTCAAAGGAAATATGTCTTAGACTTGCTCACAGAAACAGGGATGTTGGGGTGCAAGCCTGCTGCTTCTCCAATTGATCAGAAGTCCAAGTTGAGTGCAGAGGCAGGAGAACAGGTCGACCGAGAGAGGTACCAGAGACTGGTAGGTAGATTGATCTATCTGAGTCATACGCGTCCCGATATTTCATTTGCAGTGAGCGTGGTGAGCCGCTACATGCATGACCCTAGGAAGAGCCATATGGATGCAGTGTATCAGATCTTGAGGTACCTGAAGAGTGCACCTGGGAAGGGATTGATATTCAGGCAGAATGAGCACTTGAACATTGAGGGCTATTGTGACTCTGATTGGACTAGTTGTGCCGATGACAGGAAGTCCACATCGGGTTACTGCATGTTTGTAGGGGGTAACTTGGTCTCTTGGAAGAGCAAGAAGCAGTCTGTTGTTGCGAGATCTACGGCAGAAGCAGAGTATAGGGCCATGGCCTTAGGAGTTGCCGAGATGTTATGGTTGAAGACTCTATTGGGAGAGCTCAAGATGGACCAAGGGGCTCAAATGAAGTTGTGGTGTGACAACAAGTCCGCAATCAGCATTGCCAACAATCCGGTGCAGCATGACAGAACCAAGCACGTGGAGATTGATAGGTTCTTCATAAAAGAAAAGCTGAATAGTGGGCTATTGGAGCTAAGTCATGTAGCTACTAAAGATCAAGTAGCTGATTGCCTCACCAAAGGACTTAGCTCAATAGATCTAGCTAGGTTATGTGACAAGATGGGCTTGATGGATATCTTTTGCCCATCTTGAGGGGGAGTGTTGAAATATGTAGTTTATAGAAAGATAAGGGCTTGGATGTAAAATGTAACACATTATATAAGCCTAAGAGGTTAATGAAGAAAGATGCTTTTTTCCTGATTCAATTTCTCTCTCTCAAAATTCCTATTACCTCTTGCCCACACGGCACTTAAAACTTTTAACACAACATGTCCTAATTATAACTAGCTGTATATAACTTTTCTTTGTGTATTCGCAATACCAAGAGAGCTATAAGGTTAGAGATGGCAAAATCATGAAAAGGGAGGATGCCCAGAAATTAGTCGTACAACGACAACAAAAAAGCGTGACGAAAGAAGTGGTGAAACAATTCTGCTTGTTAACGGTTTGTAAGGATGTCTAGTCAAAATCTATGATGTTAAGGAAGAGTTATAATTTGAAAATTAACAAGGCAAAATGTAAAGATATATAGTCACAAATAAAATAGAAACAAAAATCCAATGACTTGCAGATTTTTGTAAAATAAAAACTGTAAATGAAAGCAGAATATATTCAAGTAAGACAACCATCAGTACACATGAACAATGATAAAAGGGCGTTTAAAATATATTGAAGTAAATAAGTGGTAAATGACTTTCAAAAGGGTTAAAAAATTATGTGAAATCATCTCATAATTCCATGATTTCTCCAGCCCGGCCTTGGGAAATAACAATACCAGTTGTTTAATACTGATTAATTATCACCGTAGTATATATACAAAGGAAAACACTTTCATCATCTAAGGAAACAGATGCAGATATTAACCATGATATCTCATTTTTACACTGCAGCGTTAAAATTTACATGCTCGCCTAGGTAACATAACAACTTACCTTAGCCCTCAAAGTCTCGACATCTGCTTTCAGTATCCTATTGTCTACAGAAGCTTCATTGTACTTCTGGTTTATGTCAGTAAGGCGCTTCAACAAAGCTGAGTTCTCCACTCTTAGTTGTGACACCTTGCATCAAATGGAATTTAAGGACATTCAGTAATATATAATTCATCTATCTCAATATCAATGGTCACCACAAGGTCAGACCTGTGCCTCAAGTTCACTTAAATGTGCTTGCTTTCTCCTTCGAGAGCGTCTTGCTGACTCTCGATTTGAGAGCATCCTGTTGGGAGAAAAAAGGTCCATAATACCATAGTCACCTAATATATGCTTTAATGTGGTAATTGTAACAAATAATAGAAGGGTAATATTGTATCAATCAATGTAGTATCTATCGATTATACGCATATGTACATCAATAAAAATATAAAGTACGAGCATATGTACATCAGAATATATGTGCCTAACAGTTTTTTTAAAGCAGAACTAATCAACAAAAGAAAATCAGTTTGGTTTGGATTCATACGCACTTGATTTCTTTTGGTTTTCCCAAGAGGGAAAACCAAACCCCCCACTTTTTGCACTGGGATGCAGAACTTTGGGCAAAAGCTCATATAAGGGATCTTTTTGGGCAGGTTGGACGAGTTATGACTCAAAAGCCGAAATCAATGAATATCCACTTGCTATCTAGAGGAAGCACATCTTATCAGGAGATTTCTCTTTTGCACTCTAAAAGAGGTCAATCACTTTTTCTAAGTTCATGTAACACCCAATATAAAGGTAATCCCTCAGGATGCAAGGTTGGGCGCATTTCTAAAGCCTCAACAATGCATTATTTCTATCTTTTATAATGGCACGTAAACTTAGAGATGCTTTAGTGCCCCTTGTAATTACTAGAAGATTTATAAGTTCTGCGGAATGGTGTAATGGAAGATCAGAATACTACAGTGCACCTTATCAAGTGTTAAGCTATTTGGAATAACAAAATGCTAACTGGGTGAGTTAAAAACGAACTAAACTCAAGCAAAAAGTACACGTAGGCGGGTTTAGGTTCAACCTAACCTACATAACATCCCTAGTCACTTGGAAAAAGTTTTAGTTGCCTGTCATATTTAACTGGACTTTCCTTATGCTCATGGAAGCAAAATGTTTCATGTTTTAATGATCTTTAAAAGCTTCAAAATATTTTCCTATTCTTCTGCTTTTTGACACACATTGATATTTATGTTGCAATTTTCCAATTTTTGCTTCATAAACAAAAAAATGCCCGCTCATTTAAACATGGAAGAATGAGAATAAACTCAAATGAAGTTCAATGAATTGTTAATTGGTTCCTCTGAGCCTCAATCAGCCCCATGGCAGTAGCAAGGCCTCGTATATCTGAGGATGAAAACCCAGGATGCTAGTTTAAGTATAAATGGTTGAAAACCCAGGATGCTAGTTTAAGTATAAATGGTTGAAAACCCAGGATGCTAGTTTAAGTATAAAATGTATTAAAAAGATAGATGGGAAACAGAACTAGAAAGTGATATAATTGAAAGAAAAAATTATACTAACGTTAATTTGTATAAGTTGATTGTTTGTTTATTTTTACATATGCACATGTCAATGTCTAATTTAGCTTGTTTACAAGGACACTTCGATTTGGGTGCTGTACCCATGTCGGACACAGATTCGTCATGGACACGCGATGGAGACTATGGTTCAAAATTCAAAGCAAAACCTGGTTTCCCCATTACGTATAACTCTAAACTAGTTTTTTTTTGGTATTTCGAGCTCAAAACCAATAGGTTTTTGAAACCGAAAAATGAAACTCATTACCTAACAATTTGAAAAATACCCATTGCATCCCATGCGATCAAAACTGATTTTTTGTTGTAAAACCTTATTTCTTATTTTGATTTAATCTGATTCTTAATTGTTATAGATAATAAAACAAACATACAAAATGTTATAGGTATTTTATATCAATATTTGATCTAATGTAAATATCCCTCACATATGCACACGCGCGCGGGCACACATATCTATGTCCCCCTGTCCCGTCTTTCACAAATTTGACGTGTCCTGTGTCGGTATCCTTGTCCACACGCGCACCCATTTCCGTGCAACACAGGTTTCAGCTTGTCTAATGGATAAATGGATTTCTTACAAAGATATATGATTAAGCACATCTAGAAATAGAAACTTAACAAACGCAGTGTAAAATATTCAAATGACTTCAACTTCTTTTGAATAACATAAAAATGTCAAGAACAACTTTAAGCAGGGAAGAAGTTTGAAAAACAGACTTTTTTTGTTGATTTTTCTAGTCAAATGGAGTTTCAAATAAAGGAATAGAATATGATCATTTGCAACAGAAAAAGAGTTTGAAGCATAATCTTTCTATATCTAGAATTTATCTTAGAATATTAGAACTGACAGTAAATGAATTTGAAATTTTGATTAGCAAGGAGAAAACTGAGAGAACAATGTGAAAGTGACTAAGAAGTAATCAATTAAGTAATACGACCAATGAATATTTTGGCTAGCATAGGAGCATGTTGATAGCTTTATGCTTGCTTACAAAAAATACTTTCCACAAAGCTAATACCTGCCTGACCAGACAAACTTACTGATTCGCAACATTTGCATTGGCATCCAGTTAGGGGTGATAATGGATTGAATTCAGATTGGCTCCTTCAAGGTCCAATTATAAATATATATTTGTAGGATCCACTTGAAGATGTGAACCTGCTAAAAATTCTTGAATTTGTTTGAAGATCCAAAACAACCAAGTCATTGGATCATGACTTCAGTTTATCTAATGTTGAATATTTCTGCCATCCCAAAGATTGCAAGTTTTTTCATGTGAGAGAAGACTTGTTTAAAGATTCAATATAGCTTTCATATATGAGAATTGAGTAGTTACCATCCAGAATTGGATATTTATGTTTCATTTCTCCGACAGCGAAAGAAAAGCTAAAGTTAATTATTAAATTGATCAAAGTTAGAATTTAGTAAGATAAATGTATTTACATCTAATTCAGTTAGCACCAGATGATTAAAGTTACACTGAAAAAAGAATGAATCGTTGCGTAGCATGAGGTAAGAAACTCTCAAGTTCTAACAGAAGGAATTGGCCAAGGATGACATTTTCGCTATCAACTTCTACTAATAAGGAAATAGAAATTTACAAGTTTTTCTCACTTATTATGTTACTTTTTACTAATATTTTGCAACATCGGTCATGTTTAAAAATGAGCAAGTAAAACTTTTGTACATGTGTTTCGGGGGGAAAAAGATAACTAGGTTTAAGAACATTGCACATTATTCAATACGACACTCTGGTATTTATTACATATCCCCAATATTCGCAATCTGATATGGATTTTGGTTGTTCGATATTTCCCCAATATCTAAATCCTTGATTAATCCATATAAATACTTATTGAGTACTGAATATGGATTGTTAAGAATTCATCATAGATTTTTATTAAGAATGTGGATCTATTTCCAGGATTCATATCCAAAACCATAACCTGTGAGATATATTTCATGGGTTCAAACCCAAAAATGTCGATCAGATTTGGATCGTATTATTGGCTCCATTGTCAACTCTAGTCAAAATCAAAGAAACAATATATGATATAATGCATTAGCCTATTAGGAGATTTTATAACCAGAGTATAAAAATTCTTTTCAGTCTAATAAGTGCAGTAAGGAACCATTTTCAAATCTATTGAAAAGAAAGCAATGAATAGCAAGTCTCCCAGAACCTTAACGATAAAAGGGAGAAAATATTATCAGCTCAATCACTAAATGTCACATTTACCTCCTTACACGTTTTGCATCCGCAGGGTCCATGTTATCAGTCATTTCAGTTTCTCCTTCAAGGTCCTCATCATCAGTTTGCTCCCTTGAAGAACCACTGGTAGCTGGCCTGCCCTGTGTTCCTGAATTCTGCACAATGGGTAAGGCTGAAACTCCATTTGATCCACCACCTGTCTTAGTTTGAAACTTAGAACCATTTCCTGGTCATATATAGGAAAAAAAGCAAAGCGAATAAAGTTATCTCAATTCATGCTAGAAATATACTAGCAACCATATATATTGAGTAATAACCATATACTGATGTCCAAATTTCAAAATAAGCATATGATCTAACATTTGGTGAAGGAAGTGAAATATAATGTAACAAGTTGCAGGGAAAAACGTGTTTGGTTTCTACATCTACAGTAACATAACTCTAAAAACTAGTGCTATGCAGAAGCTTAAACTGTCAAAATTGACCAAAATCACACTAGATAATGATTGCATGAAGACATGGGATAAAGTGAACAACTACAAAAATTAAATATACAGGCTACAAAATTTACCTCAGCTCCGAACAAGTCATGGGTATCAAGCCCCATTGGATACTTTGCTTCTAGAAAGCAAGAATATTCTAAGACGAGAGGGGAGGCCCTCCAAAGGCCCAAATAGAAAAGAGGTGACCACAGAAAGAAGAAGCTCAGAAATCCATCGTTCAACCCCTCTCTCTATAGAAAAGCATAACACAATCTGTCTGCTCTAAGCATGACATAAACAATTTTCCATGTCTGACATATTGGAGGGCCAACTTGGGCAAATAATCCTAGCAACGTCCGATAGAAGAATAAAGCACTCAACTATACATAATATGCCTCTTAGAATAAAAGTGGTTATCGCACTAACCTCAGCAAATGACGGTTATACCCGTCTTAACTTGAAGAGGCCACACTGGACTCTCTGGCCTTAAATTGCCACCCATTTGCTCAGATAACTATTATCTATTGACAATAACATGTATGGAGCAGTCCTAGTTGTTTTACTCAAACAATTTGGTGTTTTACTCAAACAATTTGGTGTATTTGGTCACTCAAGCAACTTTTTATCTTTTTATGGGAGTTGGACAATGTTCTTCCTTTACCTCATACCCTTACATAGCTCTTATCTAGTTCGGTGCTAAAACTGCATAATACCGAAATACCCCTGTAACCCAATAACCACAGAGTAGTTTCTATATCATACAAACATTGATAACAAACCAACCTTTTATAGGCGCCATTGCTGTCCAGAACTCTTCCAAGAGATAAAAGACACCTATCCAGCAAGCTTCCACTAGAAAAGGGTCAGGTCAGCTTAAAGGCAAGCCTGGTTCTAAGATAAGACAGGATCCCTACTTGAGCAGGAACACAATAGTCTCATATGTAGGGACGACAATCAGTTGGGGGCTCGGTCAGTCACTGAGAATGCACCACTCTCAAATTGTTTGGGGCCTAATATTTCGACCTGATTTAGGCTTTTAACAATAGAGGCAACCCTGTCTTGCGAAGTTTAAGGCTGGTCTTATTATTTATTGGTCTTGTCAATTATGGAGGTGGTGATTAATGGGCTTGGACAATGATAGATCAACATATGTTACATGCTAGTGGTATGCTCCAAAATGAAAATGTAATAGTTGTAAAATTAATCAAAGAATACATGTCAAAAAAAGATAACATAAAAAAAATCACCAGCTGCCAAAAACAAAAGGAGCAAGAATGTTAATTTTTCTCATTAACTATGAAGATGAATTATCATTCCAAAAAACAAGAATGTCAAGACACTAACTTTTAAAGTTGTTTGGTTCACAGATTCCAATGACCACCAAATGAGATTATATATTCTAGCTAATCAAGAATATCTTTTCATATGTCAATTATCATGATTGTTCTAACTATTTTCATCTTCAATCGCTATCCAAAAAATTGCTACAGAATATTTGAGCACATGATTCAAACTAAAATGAACTGGATAAATATGTACATTAGTTTAGTTTACTCACTTCAATTTTATGATAGCTTTCTAATAACTTTTCTTTCTTTCTTTTCTAACGAGGATGGCCTCTAAGAGCACCCACCTATTCATCAGGCGTGTTGTCTTCTCTCCACCACACATCACTCATTAATATATAAGGGAAAATCCCTTAAAGCACCCAAATTGCAGATACTGATCCAAACTCAAGCAAACTATTACTAGGGAGAAATGCCTTCACCCACCCCTTATCCCCCACTCTCTGGATACCTTCTAGTATCCTAGTGAAAACCAAAAAAAAAAAATCCTTTCTTCATTCAGTTCACAGGAACATTCTTCTTTTTTACAAACCAGTATGAACACTAATTTCTGTCCCCATTCGTCTCTTTATGCTTAGTTACTTCTTTCCATCCGGATTAACTTTGCTGAACACCTAGGTGGCAGGCACATGGTTGATCCGTCAAACTCTCTATCTGAATAGATTTACATATTTTCCAGCAAGATTATAGTATTTGCATCCTTCAAAAGGAACAACCAAAGACTAGCAGTAATGAACAACTCATGATTTACAAAACCAATGGCCCTACTTCTAACTTCTAAGTAACATAAACCATTCCAGTTCTACATACCATTAACAAGAGCTTGAGGTTCCAGCTGTGAGGAGTCTGAAGCTGGAGACTTGGAATCAGCTAAGGAAGAATCCTGGGGTGTTATGCCTGTACCCTGTTGGAAAATAAAATTGTTAGGAGAATACTTGATGTAATGTGGTAGGAATTGCTGATTACTTGTATGGTGGTGACACATACATTCAGTTGCATGTGTGACAAGAAATTATCTTCAAACTCTATTTAAATTGCTTAAACAGAAAGCTAGGCAAAGAGCACCAAACATGACAAACTAGGAAGAGATCAACCAAAATAGTTATAATCTGGAGAAGATATTTAACTGCTAAAGTTTATACTAACAGTTTAGAATGAAGAAAACTGCAAATTTAGACTATATGGATCCATCCTAGAACACCATGAGTTTTTTAGGAAAATTTAAAATCCTTGTGCAAAGGAAAAGCTAGAGAAGTAAAAGAGCAAATATATTCACATCCCACAGAAAAATTTTGTGATTAAACTCTATCACTATCCCTTTTTTTCATCTTCTCTTGTTTATTTCCTTTTCCCCTTATTCATTTATATATATCTTTTATTAGAAGAATTGCATGTCAACACTTAAAAAAGAATAATCATTTTAGATACTGAATATTGGGAAGAATGACCTTGAACTATTAAAAGAGGTTAATATATGTGCACAAATGGACCATAGCAGTAGTATATTAATAAAAGTTCAAAAATGAAGAACTGTATACTAGAATCTGAATGCAAGACGTTTATAAAAATAAATGTTGAAATGAAAGTTGTAATAACTTTGCCACTTGATGAACAGAATGTTCATAAGTGAAAACTGTGCATTTTGGAACTTGAACTCATCAAATCTAATTCTGCTCTGAAAATTTTATAGAAATTATTGTATTTGAAGTCAAATAGATGTTATATGTTGGGAAAAATCTTTGCAACCAAACCCTACGGTTCTATTTTTTTCCCTCAAAAAATTTCTGCAAAGCTCTTTTCTTTCAAGACACTTTTCTTATAAAGATGGGATTGTCTCTTTTTGGGTTGTTGGAACAGACCTTTACAATATATTATGCCACAAGTACAACTAAAACCACAATTTTCCATAAAATTGCCTAAAGAAGCTGATACACTAAATAGGATATAAACCTGATACTTGATAGATATACATATACCATACTGCATTGACTTGTTAGATTTGTATGTCATATCCGTCTTTAATCTCATTAACTAAAATCGATGGATGAACTCTTTGCGCTATAACGGTACACGATGGAATTTAGAATGGACCATTAGGACATTAGCTGTTTACAGAACCTAAACTAATTGACCAAAATTCTATGATAAGTTATTTTTTCCTTAATTTTTTGAAGTAGGATGTTTGGCAAGAGCTCAGTTTTGGTTAGCCATGGCAAGTTACTGACTTGCGATATATAATAAATCCTCTGTATATTTATTAGCTTCTTCATTCAATTACAATTTGAGATTGAGAAAGTGGCTTGTAACTCACAGAAGTGACATTCAGCTTTAGCATTGAAAGGCATAACCCAAATATTGTTGGAATCCACATCAAACTGGAGTTGTGGATTCATGAATTTTGTTTTCAATAACATAGGTTAGTGAAGGAAATCAGAAAAATAAAAATTTTATTATGAATTTTTTTTGTGTTTACAAGCTATTCTATATCACATATATATACACTTTCTGTTACATAAAATTAGGAAAGAATCTGCAACCAATCTCCTAAACTTTAGGACCCGGTTATCACCCCTAATTTCCTTTTCTAAAAACATCCCTAAACATCCTCCTATAATAATTCATCCGAGATTTCCTACACTCCCCCTCAAGCTGGTGAATTTAAGTCCACCATTCCCAACTTGCTAATGCTCTCATAAAACATATTATTACATAACCTTTTATCATCACATCTGCTAGCTGACGTCCATATAGTGTACAAATCAGGCCACAATCTAACTTTTCTTTAATAAAATGTTTGTCTATCTCGATGTGCTTCGTTCGGTCATGCTGCACAAAATTATGGGCAATGTTCATAGCTGACTTATTATCATAATATAGTCTCATAGGTCTGCTCCATTGAATCTTCAGATCTTCTAGAATAGTCTTGACCCACATTAGTTCACACACTCATGTTGCCATAGCTCTGAACTTAGCTTCTGCACTCAACCTTGCTACTATGCTCTGTTTCTTGCTTATCCAGGAAATTAAGTTTCCTCCAAGGAATGTACAATGGCCAGTAGTTGATCGCCTGTCAACCGATGATCACGCAAAGTCAGCATCTGTGTATACTGCTAGGTCAATGTTTGATGCTTTCTTGAATAGACTTCATTTGCTAGGATGTGCTTTTAAGTAATGAAGGACTCGATATGCAGTCTATAGATGAACCTCTCTAGGATCCTGTATAAACTGACTAATGACACTAACCGAATAGGATATGTCTGGCCGAGTATGGGCCAGGTAAATGAGTTTCCCAACAAGACATTGATACATCTCTCTATTTATTGTCTTATCTCCAGGAGCTTCACCTAGTATTTGATTTTGTTCAATAGGAGTTCCAATCGGTTTGCTAGCTATCATTCCGGTCTCTTTAAGTAAATCTGTAACATATTTTTGTTAAGAGATGAAAATTCCCTGTCTAGACCGAGCTACTTTAATCCCAAGGAAATACTTAAATCTTCCTAGATCCTTTATTTCAAATTCCTTGGCTAGACACTCCTTCAAGACTTTCTTTTCTACCTTATCATTCCCTGTCACTATAATGTCGTCCACATACACGATTAATATCGTGACTCCCCCTAAGGTCGAATGCTTGATGAAGAGTGTATGATCTCATTGACTTTGTTTGTATCCATTAGCCAGCATCACCTTGGCAAACCGTCCAAACCAAGCATGAGGGGGTTGTTTCAACCCATATAATGCCTTTTTTAACCGACAAACCTTGTGATCATCAGCTCCACTAAACCCTGGTGGAATACTCATATAAATCTCCTCTTCTAGCCTTCCATGAAGGAAGACATTCTTCACATCATACTGCTGTAATTCCCAATCAAAGTTGACAGCCAAGGACAACAATATTCTCACCGTGTTCATCTTTGCTATTAGAGCAAATGTTTCTTGGTAATCCACCCCATATGTTTGAGTATATCCCTTCGCAACCAGCCTTGCCTTATAGCGTTCTAGGGATCCATCCGCCTTAAATTTTACTGCAAACAACCACTTATAGCCCACTAGTCTCATACCTTTAGGTAAATCAACCAATTCCCAAGTTTCATTCTTTTGTAATGCATCCATTTCTGCCTCCATAGCAAGTCTCCATTCTTTCTTTGATAATGATTTAGATAATGAGTTAGGAATAGGAATTGTGTTCAAGGTTGAGAGAAAACTTTGATGGCTTAGAGAGAATTTCTGAAAAGTTACAAAGTGAGTCAGAGGATATAATGGTCTTTTAGTGCATTCTTGGGGTTGTTTTCTCAAGGCTATAGGCAGATCCAGGTCAAGGTTAGAGGATTCAAAGTTAGGTCGATCATAGTTGGAAAGAGAGTCTACCTGTGGTATAGTTAGATTCGGGTCACAGGTTGTTACCTCATTTCCAGGACTCGATTTAGTGAATTGTTCCTGTCTTGTAGTCATAATATGATCTCTTTTCCTTGCATACACCTGATCAAACCGGAAATGATCAAAGATTTTCCCATCTACATCTTGGTTTTCTACTTATGGCTATTTAGACGGTAAGTTTGAAGGAGATACTTGACGCTGGAGGCTCTTTTTGTGATCTGTGTGACTTGGGTGAACGTATTTCCAGTAATGACAGACTTGACTCCTTATCTTCAAGTATAGGTAACTCCCCCTGAAGAAAAGGAGTAAAGAAATATGTTTTATGTTCAACAAAAGTAACATCGGCCGAGACAAAGAGATTCTTAGTGGGAGGATGATAGAACTTATAATCCTTTTGAGTGGATGAGTATATTACGAAGACACACTTAATAGCTCTAGAATCTAGTTTCCCTCTGTTATGACCATGAACATGAACAAAAGACGTGCATCAGAATACCCGAGGAGTAAGATTGAAGGACTTTCAAATGTCAAGATAGAATTGGGACAAGATTTCTAATGGACTTTTAAATCCTAAGACTCTAGATGGGATTTTGTTTATGACATACGTTGAAGTGAGTACAACTTCTTCCCAAAAAGATTTTGGTACATTCTGTTGGAATAATAAGGCTCTAGTGCAGTCAAGAAGATGTCGGTTTTTTCTCTTTGCCACTCCATTTTGTTGTGGAGTGGTAATGCAAGATAATTCATGTATAATCTCTTCCTTTTGAAAATAGGGAGTCAAAAATTAGTTAAAATAATCACGGACATTGTCTGAGAAAATATTCTTTATTTTTGTACCAAACGGGTTTTGAATCACTGCATGAAAGTTGGGGAAAATAAGGTTTACATTAGATTTGTTTTTGAGTAAATATATCCAGGAGACTCATGTACGGTCATCAATAAAACTCACAAATCACCTATACCTAAGTTATTTGGTGTAGTGGATGGTCCCTAAATGTCACTATGAACCAAAAAGAAGGGAAATGAAGATTTGTTATTACTGATTGGGAAAGGGTACACAAGTGTGTTTTGCATACTCACAAATATCACAATGAAGGAAATCAGAAAAATAAAAGTTTTATTATGATTTTTTTTGTGTGTTTACAAGCTATTCTATATCACATATATATACACTTTCTGTTACATAAAATTAGGAAAGAATATGCAACCAATCTCCTAAACTTTAGGACCCGATTATCACCCTTAATTTCCTTTTCTAAAAATATCCCTAAAAATCCTCCTATAATAATTCATCCGAGATTTCCTACAGTTTGATATTCTGATTTTTTAATTCCTAATTAGATTATGCTTTTAGTTTTATAGAGTTTTTTTGTAAGCATATTTTCAATGATTTATCATACTCCCTTTAAAAGCACGAGTTCGGAAAAATCTTTCTATGGTCAGTATTACCCTTAGTTTTTTTCAATATTACATTGATATATTCTAATTTTAATCATATCTTATCTAATTCCACGTGAACTATCTATAGGT